ATAATAAGCTGTGTAGGGATCGAACCCAAGACGTGGTGCAATGTGGCATCCCATGAGGTCGGAGGCCCAAACAACATGCCCTTTGATGTTTGATGTTAAAACATGCGTGGTTATATAATATAAACTAAATTTTTTGCCTTTATTTATATTTTTTAAACTTGTGCTTGACTCGGGCGAGTTCTTTGGGCCTAGTTACTTGGACTCGCCCGAGTAACTCGTCTCGGCCAAGGTCCGAGTACCTTGGCCGAGTCGATTTTCAGTACACTGAATTAGACATATTAATGTATACAAACATGGGTGTACAGTACACTGGGTCAAACTTGCCTCGCCCATAGGGTGAGGCTGAGTAATTCGGGGAAGTCTGAGTGGACTTGACTGAGTCCCGGTACACTGATGTTATGTATATAACAGTGTGTATAAACTCTATATGATGTATATACACTATTAACAGTGTAATATAGTGTATAACTGCGTAGACTACAGTGATGAAAGTGTTATACACTGTTATCTATGCATATACACTATTAACAGTGTGTACCCACTGTATATTGTGTGTATACAGTTATTATATAGTGTATAACAAGATATATACACTTTTATATGCACTGATAATATAGTTAGAATAAATCTCAGGCGATGCATAACTCGGCTGAGTCCCGGTACACTGTTCTTATGTAAATAACAGTGTGTATAAACTCTATACGATGTATATACACTGTTAACAATGTTATATAGCGTATAATACACTGTTTAAAGTGTTATACCCTGTTATCTCTGGACATGCACTATTAACAGTGCATATACACTGTTAACAGTGTATACCCACTCTATATAGTGTACAACTGCACATACACTTAATATACATTGATAGAAGTATATATACACTGATAATAATTGAATATTTGTGCTAAGATATTAAGATAGTTAGAATAAAACATCATTCGGACTTCACATATGCTGGTCACTACAGTGATTTGGTTTTTGTGAGAATGAAAGATGAAGTGGGTAGTGTATTGTTTGCCCAAACATAAACAACTTTTCATTAATTTAGAGAAGCTGCCTTTGGGTAAGTATATGCAGTGTTGGAAGCATTGAATCTGAACTATTGTAGACATGTAAATATAATCCATTCGATATTTCCATGAATCATAGCCAAGAAGGTGAAAGGGTTGGATGGGAAAGGGCAGAATGAGAAGCGATCTTGCTCGCTGCAAAGAGACACCCCATTAAGAGGTATTCGACTTTTACAGAACAGGTTATTTGTTTGAAATGTGGATGTTTGCATATATTGTAAACATCCCCTTCCCAGGGTCCTGAACTAAGTTTCACAAGCTTGTTGCCGGATTGTCAGCCTCTCCAAGCAAGTTGTATGTATTTCACTTTTATTGGCACGACTGTAGCTTTAATTTTTTTGCTGGGAGTAACTATAGATGTTTATGTTTTCAGACTTGTGAAGTTAATTTAGAAGAAGGTGATGTGATCATTGCTGCAATAGATGGTCTTCTTGATAACTTGTATGCTCAGGATATAGCAAGCATTGTATCTGACTGCTTACAAGGCAGTTTAGCAAGCATTCTCTTTCCTCCTTTGGAAAGCTCTAGTTCTTAGTTGTAAAATTCTTTTGCAGTTGTTCAATTCTTTCTCCCCATCACTAAGTGGGTATTTTATGTTCTTCTTTTGAAATCCTAAGACTAATGAGTTTTGCTTCAAAGGATAAAACCATAAGAGTTCGCTGCAAAAATAGTGATTCTTATTCATTCTTGTTCAAAACCAATTCAAAGACTCGTCCTACTTTGAAATGAACAAAGTTGAAAGAGTAAGAGCTCTCTCTCTCTCCCTCTCTCTCTCTCTCTCTCTCTCTCTCT